CAAAGCAAATGAAAACACGATATTTTGCCATTATAGAATGTGACCCCAAAACCTTTCATAGTATCATGGAAAACGGAATATTATGTATTAATTTAACGATATGCTCAGTATATGAACACATTAATTTGTTAAGATGCTACAATTGCAGCGGCTTCAACCACACTGCTAATAAATGTACCGGACAGATGTTCTGTTTAAAATGCGGTGAGAGAGGACATAAAGCAGATATATGCACGAAATCAATTATATCTTGCCCAAATTGCTTGGAGCTTAATAATAAATTCAAGTTAAATTTAAAGATTGATCATTCTGCTTTTGACAAAGTAAATTGCACAGTAATGCGGAAGAAGCTTGAAAGAGCAAGAAGCAACATAAATTACTCTATATAGCAATCAAAGGACAAGTCAGAAAATTCATCCAAGAATCCAATTATTGCTCACAGTGAAGGCGTCACGAAAAATTGTAGTACACTAAACGTAGCACATGTGAATATTCGATCACTTATTCCTAGCTTTGATATGTTTTCAGACGTTATACTAGAGCAGAGCCTTCATATTATAGCACTAACAGAGACTTGGCTTACACATGATTTTCCTTCGGATTTAATTACTCTGCCAAATTACCAGCTGATTAGAAATGACAGAGAAGAAAGAGGAGGTGGAGTATGTTTTTACATCCAGACCAACATAAAATTTAAAGTCGTAAATTGTAACAACATTTCTTCAAATGGCATTGAACAAATGTGGTTATCGCTAAAACTAATAATAAGACCATTGCGATAGGTGTTATCTATAGACCGCCATCTATTGCATTAAGTCTACTTTCTAGCCGTGAGAATAACCTTGCTTCTATATTCATTACCCATGAAGAAGTCATACTGATGGGCGATGTGAATATTGACCTCACCGATAAGTCTTCCAATCCCAGTAAACAATTTTTTCAACCATGGCATTATTCAATCTCGTTCAGGTTATTAATGAACCCACAAGAATAACCAAGAATTCAGCTACAATGATTGATGTAATTTTTGTATCAAATACATTGCATGTGCGCAAGAGTGGCACTATAGGCATGGGATATATAACTGATCACAGGTTATGCTTCTGTGAATTGAAGATTGAAATTCCAGAATACACTCCTACAACATTTTATTGTCGTGACTTTTTCCACTTTAATTATGATGAATTTGCTAAGGATGCAACTGCTGTGAACTGGCCTGATATAAATAATCTACAAAGTCTTGATGATAAAGTCCTCCATCTTACTGAGAACATTACCTTGCTGTATGGCATACATGCTCCGATGAAAGAATTACACCTCATAAGTTCTACAGGCCATACGTCACCTATACAATGAAATGTATAATAAATTTAAAACGAAAAGCTTACAATAAATTTAAAAGAACTAGATCTGAAACAGATCGATTGTTTTATAACGATCTTAGAAATACTCAGGTGTGGCTTTAAGGAATGAAAAAACAGCTTATATAAAATATCAACTAAATAAGAACAGGAATAATCCCAAGCAACTATGGAAAGACTTCGCTAAATGGAATATTCATCAAAAATCCACTAATCAGATATCTCAGGGCATTGAAGACGCAGAAGCCATCAAACAATCACTTTGTGAACTCGTTGCCAACCATTCACCTGATGAGTTATTTCTAAACGCTTTATCTGGGCAGAAAAAGTCACTCGTAACTAAAAGTTCGTTCCATCTAGTTACATCTGATGATATTGAAAAGAAACTGAGAGAAGTGAAATCAAATGCTGCTGGTATAGATGGTATTACCACAAGCATGCTGAAAAATGTATTTTCTTTTTGCAAAAGTGAAATAACGAATATCATAAATCAATCCCTGAACACAGGAGAAGTACCAACATTATGGAAGAAATCAGTTGTAACGCCACTAGCAAAAGTCAATAACGCTATACAGATGAAGGATTTGAGACCAGTAAGCACCTGACCTGTGATGTCCAAGCTTGCAGAGAAAGTGGTAGCTGACCAACTTCGTGACCATCTAGAAGTAAATGAAGTCCTTCCCGATACACAGTCGGGATTCAGAAAACTACATAACACATCCACAGCGCTTATAAAAGTAACTAGCGATATAGTCAA